TGTCCTAAAGTTACTAAAGGAAACTAGAATGCTTAGATTCAAACCTGTTGACACCGCTATGGACATAATGAATAAGGTAGGAATGGAAGAAGGAAATCCACCAACAAATAAGGGTAGATATCAAAAACTTGTTGGGTAACTCATCTACCTCTCATGCAAGACTAGATATCGGTTTTTGGATTAGCATGGTAAGCAGATTCATGAACAACTCAACTAAGGAACACTTGAGGGTTGTGTATTGAATTTTACAGTACCTAAAGAAGAGTCTTGGTAAAAAGTTATTTTTAAATAAGATATCACGCCAAAATGTTGAAATTTACACTGATGTTGATTGGGCTGGATCTGTTACTGACCAAGGATCAACTACTGGTTATTGTATACCTATGTGTGGGGAAATTTGGTTACTAGCCGAAACAAGGAGCAATCTATAGTGGTTAACAGTAGCACGGAAGTTGAATTTAGAGCTATGCCTCATGGCATATGTGAGGGAATTTGGCTAAAAATGTTGCTAAAGGAGTTAAAGGTTTTTGCAGAAGAATCTATAAAGATATTCTGCGACAACAAAGCTGCCACAAGTATAGTAAAAAATCCTGTTCATCATGACAGGATTAAACATGTGGAGATTGATCGTCATTTCATCAAAGAGAAGATAGAGGAAGGAATTGTTAGATTAGTTTGTACTCCCACATGTCTCCAAACTACAGACATACTAACTATAACTTTCTCTTAAAACAACTTCGAGAATCTGAAGTGCAAGTTGGGCATAATTGACGTCTACCACCTAACTTAATGGGGAGTGTGGAAATCAAATCTTCATTATTACTTGATTGATTCACTTTATCTATTTTAATTAAGTCTCTTATTTTTAGAATAAGGAGTAATTTGGGTAATTACACCAAATCCATTAGATATTTTCTATTATGTATAGAGAGTAAATTACTCATTTGATTAGCTGTTTTAATGCATGAATTTTGGGTTTTAAAGCTGAGAATATTCATTCTTTAGCTTATATATTTTCACGCAATTCTAGTATTGTAATAAGTAAAATATAGAAGAATAAAATATTTTTATTCTAGAGATTTCTTCAATTCCTTTCTTGGTGACTAATTTAACATGATCTCACTAGTTGAAAAACGAAAATATTGTACGTTATCTACTTTTTTCCATGCGACTAAGAACTTGCTTTTCTTTTTGCTCATGAACCAACGCATGTCGGTCCAGAAAGAAATTAAAAATTGCACTTTTTTCTTTTTTTAACTTGAAGAAGGTATCTGGTAGTTTGGCCTTGTTGTAATTGTATTCAGGTTTTAGGTTGTTGCATTGCACCCAAAAAGAAAAATGCAGAGAAAAAGCTATAGTGCTGAATGACCTGTAAAATCAGAATATAAATCCATTCAATTGGACAGCAATAGGTGGAGAATGTTAGTCACTGTTAAAAAGCAATTCATCTGGTAAGATGGATCAAAATATTTTTAATTTTATAATTAAGTTATACAGAAGTAGGTTCTTTTCTTGGGCTATAGTTTAAAACATTGGATGAAATAATCATTCTTCCTTCCATGTTTTCACCATTCCCTGTAAAACTAACTGGTGTACTGTGTGAGATATTTGCTGTTAGAGAAAACTTGCATCTCATGCCAAAAGTCAAGAGTGATTGAACCTATGATTCTTGGATAAATTTTTGACTGATATCGAGTTTCGTAATCTTAACGACTACATTCACGATGATCAAATGTGTTGCTAGCTTTTGCATATTGTAGTTATCTCTTCATTCTAAATTGATATCTCAGGTCTAAAAGTCGACTGGCCCCATTTTTTTGACAATTTTGATCATGATAACTGGGACGTCTATTCTGAATCTAATCTCTTTTGTTTGTTTCACCTTTACTTTTTGTAAATTGCAGTTGGAATGTGAAAAAGTGGAGGTGCGAGGATCAAAAATTAGTCATTGTGCTCGGGCACCATTGGATACTAGAGGTTCAACTTCACTTTTACTTTTGAGTTGCAAGGACAGTGCCAAATTATAGAATTTCCAAACACAACATCTTTCCTTTTCCGGTGAGTACCTAAACAAAATTTAAGCCTTGCTTTAACAGTGAACTGTGCACTTTCCCTTGATTTAGAGTTTGAAGTTAGAATCAACCTTGTTTTAGAATTTTCTCACTGTGAATTTTGAGGCATGCAGTTTCCACCACTAGAATTCATATAAAGAGAACCAAGTTGGAAATTTTCCATCCAAGGAAAATGATGCAGGAAAAAACAGTAAAGTGACTGGATTTTGAGAATTTTATCTAGGGACTTTAAATTCAAATCATTAGGAAATGAAAGATTTGTTTATGTTGTGACTAAGATACAAGAAGTAAATGGACTTGGTGAAAGACGTCCACTGTAGAGTGTGGACTAATGCACAGATACGAAGACCAACACAAGCCCACCTCAAGTCTAAGGTCAATTGGCATTGGTGCTTGTCACAATAGCAACCGATTCTTTGGTGAGCAATTCTATCCTAAATGGTGTAGCTTCTTTCCCTCTTTGCTTATGTTGTGCCTGTGCTGAAGCGGGTAGTTAAAAAGAAATGAGAAACCCAAATACACCAACTCATTTAATATAGATTCTGAGCAAGTTTTTGCTTGTGTACCGACTAAACAGTGAGGAAGAAGGAAGAGACTATCGGTTCATAGATTTGTTTGGAGTGTGAATCTAGACAGCAAAGAAAATGTTAATTTAAGGTTTCAACTCTCACGTGAGATTAAATGGTTTATCAACTTTGTTTTGGACCACAAAATCTATCTTTGATAAGTTTTACACGAAGATGTGATTTCATTGCCAGCCAAATACATGAATCTGCCATTTCTGCAATCAAGATATGAGTTGAAAGCAAATATATCAGTTCAAAGATAAAGCTTTCCTCCGAGATTCCTCTTGGGAATTGATGTGATGATTCTGATGAAGGGTTGAAGGTTTCTGTCATCAGCCATAAATGAAGATGGTAATGTGTCAGGTGCCCCCAGTGATGGGATTGGTGAGTGAGCTTTTGTCAGGCATAGACCAGAACAAATGGGAAGGAGACGATCCATTGCCCCAGGAAATTTAATTTTTTTCCATTTGTTTGATTGTTTCTTTGTTGAATGAAAACCAAAACATGACCATGTACGTTGGATAAGACACTTGGGCAACTGTCTTGAATGGGACAATCCACCCTATGTTTTTACCTGTATGGCTGCCTGGTTCCCCTGGTGTACCAGTTTCATTGCATGGACAACATCATTACCCACGCCCCACATCTCAACCAAGGTCTCTTTCATGAAAACTCTCGTATTGTACCAGACAAAAGGTGAGATTGATGCTAGCAAAAAATCTCACATTTTTTCATGGATGGATGGTGGATGACATAATTTTTCATTTCCATGATGGATGGATGATATAATTTTTCATTGTAACTTTTTGTTTATCTTGTTTCACATTTCCCCTAGGTTTCTTTATAGGATTGCCAATGGATCCTTGGGGGCATAAAAGGGATTACATTCACAGTTCATACCTCCCACATAATCAATAAAAGAAGATTATTCATGAATTTCTGGTGATTCTATCTCTGGATTCTCTGCCCTCCGCCCCCGCCCCCACCCCCACCGTTCTCCAAGTCCACCCCAAGGCACTTCAATTTTGGGGTGCAAAGAAGATATTTATATCTAAAAAAAAGTTAATTATTGAGGGTTAACTCCAGTAATATCATTAAGGACAAAAAACTTTTTATTGAATGTAATAAATTCTAAATTTAAAATTTTTGTTTTTATTAGTTGGTAATAAAATTTTTTAATTTCATAAATAAAAGTGGGAGGTTATAACATTTTTTTTAACATCTTAAAGGTATGTTTCAGCCTTCTAATTTTGATGAGTTTAAAAATTTTATTGTTAGTTGATGTAATAATATAATAGTTTAACTACTAATTCTTATAATTTATGAGTAACTAAACAATCATTAATGACTTTATTAGGCACATTCAAATAAGAACACTCAATAGTCCATTATTATGGCCAATAAAATAAAATAAAAAATCCTCATTTTGTGATTGTAAACAGCATATAGAGCAAGAAAAAAAAAAGCCCAAATCTCAGCTCAATTAGACAAGAAAAAAAATCATCCCTGCCAGAACCTAAAGTTTTGCCAAAAAATGGTCAACTTGAGGAATCTACTTTATTATAGACATCTGAATCATAAGGCAACTAACTAAAATTAGTGGGGCTTTAGAGGAAAAAAAAAGTATATAGTATAAATAAAAAAGGGCAAAAAAACAGTATTAATCCAAAGAGCTCCAACCAAAAGGAATCAAAAGAAAAAGCATAGAAAATGGCATATTGACATTCACAAAATGGAGCACCGAATAAAATAAAGATAGGATTGTAATTATCTCTGTTTAAATCATATAATTATAACAATGACTACCAATATCTATCAAATTCTTAATTGGCCCCGACTCGATTGAAACTATCTTACCTAATCATGTAATTTAGTTCCTAAGAAAACAAATGAATACAAAGAAAAGATATAAATTTTGAATTGTTACAAGTTTTTGTTAGGGTTGATGGTGATTCGAATCGAATTTAATTTAATTTAATTTTTTTAAATAATTTATAATATTATAAATTTTTTAAATTTGATCTAAATTTAAATTAATTTTTTAAATAAATTTAATCTAAATTAAATTTTATTAATTTAATTTATATATTTAATTTTTTTGTTTTTATAAATTATTTTAATATAATTTTTAATATATTTAAATAAATTTACATATAAAATAATTATTTTATTTTATAAAATTTAAAATATATAAAACTAATAAAAATTATAATTTAATTTGATTTTTTTTTTAATTTTCATATTTTATCTAAAATTCAATATAAACTTAATATATACATTTAATATTTAAATTTTATTTGAATCAAACAAAAAAATCAAATCAAATATTATAATTTTTTATTTTCTCAATTTTTTTTCTCAACCCTAATTTTCACACAACACTCAATAATAGATTTAACATTTTGCATATATATATATATATATATATATAGATATATATATTTGTAATATTTATTTTTCTCATTTCTAATGTGCATAAAATTATCTCTGACAAATATTACACATTTGGATTCCAAAGACCCCATAAACGAGAATTTAATAATCCTAAAACATCTGGCAACACCTTCCTAGCCAAACCCTTGTGGTTACTTGTCGTCGCCGCCGCCGCCGCCGCCGTCCGTACTTCAATGTCGGTATCCTTAACTACTGGAAACTCTTGAGTTTCCATCACTTCTGCCACTTCATCTACCTCTTCTTTAACATCTTTCCCTGTTGAAATGACGTCATCAGTAAAAACAGGTGCTTCCACGGTAAAACTCTCCAAGACGAGAACTTCATGCTCGGGTTGACCCGGGATGTCAACAGCCAGGCTATCGGAGACTCGAGTGGCGGCCTTGTTGTTACTATCCCTTCTTTTGGGCCGCGCGTTTTTCTTGGAAGGTTTCTGGGATTCTCCGTAGGTTAAATGATCTTCGAAAGCTTCAATAACTTGATGGATAAGCTCACGGTTAGGAGAAGAGTCCCAGCGGAACCAGTAAGTAGTGTAGCAGTCGAAACAATCACAATCGAAAACGTGGGAGGAAACCAGAGTCTTTTGGGTCAGCTTGGAGGCGGTTGGTGGTGGCTTCTTGTAAGATCTTTTCTTGGAAAAATAATCTTGAGAAATCAAACAAGGGTTGGTGGTGGTTTTGAGGGACCTGGTTATCATGTAAGCTAAAACTTCCCGGTCCTCGAGAGATAGGACTGAAGCTAGAGCCAAAATGGCAGCTGGGAGAACCGTCAAAATGGAAAGATAGTCTTCACCAGAAGAAGAAGAAGAAGAAGAAGGAGGAGGAGATGGGTATACTTTACCTTTGTTTTTGAGCTTCATGGCTGCTTTTGTTTCTCTTTGAGGTTCGGTTTGGTTACAAAGAAAGGGAAAAAAATAGGCTTGGGATTAAAGCAGGGATTTTTATGGGATAACGGAGAGCCTGAGAAGGAAAGATGATACAGCTAGGGTGTTTTTTATTAAAAAATAAAAAAAAAAAAAAACAGTTTTTTTTTTAACTTTTGGTGTTTTGAGTTAATCTCTTATTATTAATTAATTTATTTATTTTTCCTTTATTTTATTTACTTGGCAGAAAAAGCCGAAAGAAGAAAAGATGTTAATTTATATTTTTGTCATTTTTTATACCTGTAATAACATAAATTATTAAAATATAAATATAATATAAATTATAAATTATATTCAAATTTTAAATACGAATATAATATGTATATTATATATGTTGTATGAGATATGATATAATTAATATGTATATAATTAATTATTTAAATATGATATAAATAATACGAATATATATAAATAAATATGATTAATACGAATATATATTAATAGACATAATTAACATGAATATATATAAAAATATGATTAAAATAATAAATAATTATAAATTATTAATCATTTATAATTAAATAAACTTAATATATTAATAATACAAAAAAAATTACATATTAAAAAAATAAAAATTTAATACTCATTTAATATGTATTTAATATATATATATATAAATTTTAATATGTATTGCATAATTATATTAATTTTTAGTATAAATTTAAAATGATAGACTATCAAAAATTAAAGAATTAAATAATAATTTATATGACTAATATTAATATTTATATTATATTTATATTATTAATATAAAAAATATTGTTATAATAATTATTAAATAAGTAATATAATTAAATATTTAAAATAATTTTTATATGATATTAAATAGTTAATTAAGTATCATAATTAAAAGATTAAAAATTAAAATAATTTTTATATGTTTATATTCAATTAAAATAAATATAAAAATATATTAAACATATTAAACGTATATTCTTATGATAAGATTAAATTAAACATATTATTTATATTGTATTAGACATTTAGACGTGTTGATATGTATAAAATATGAATTATATTATATCAAAATTTATTTTGATATGAATAAACATAAAATATATTTTTTAAAATTTATATATAAATTTTTTATATTATTTTCATGTTATATTATTATATCATATTTAAAATTATCAAAAGAATGTATCTTATAATTACTAATCTCTGTATCACGCTCCTGGTGCGTGTAATTGATTTATAAAGTTTAAAAAAAATTATGTAATAAAATATTAAAATTTTAATTTTGATAATTAAAGTTTAAATTTATATAATTCTAAATAATTTTATTCAACCTATTATCTTGCCATTTGCAAATCATATAAATAAAAGAGAAAAAAAGGAATGGTCAGAATATTAGGAAAAGGTAATACTTTCCAAATTTGAGAGTTCTAATCATAAATTTACACGAAAGAGTGAGGAGACAACCGATTCGTTGACTTAGACTTATACATAAGTTGAATGGAATCAAATTTGATATACATAGGTTCGATGGATTTAAATTTGATTAATTTTTTAAATTTTTTACTCAAAACTTGTCGGGTCAAATAAGTTTGGTCATTATTTTAAAAATATTAAATATTAATATTTTATATATTTTAAAATTAAATTTAAATAAAATATTTTTATATATGCATTATAATAATTCAAGTCGGAGGGGACGGATTGGCATGGCAGGTTGCACTTTTTACGACAATAATTTGTAGAGTGAAAAACGACTTTAAGGGTGATTTAAACATGATTTGATAATAATTTTAATAAAAATTTTAAATAAATAACTTACTAAAATTCAATTAAAAATTATTAAATATTATAATTTAAATTTGATTAATATTTATTTAATGATAAAAATTTTGTTAATATTTTAACTAAAAATATATATTAAAATTTTTTAAAATTTTATACATTTAATATGTAATAAAATCTTTTAGTTTATTAATGTTAATTTAATTATTTTTAATAAAAAATTTTACAAATTTCACTTCAAAAATAAACAACCGACTAAATGCAAGATAAACAACCGAGCAAAAGCGCCTAGAGCGTAGAGGGGGAGAGAGGGAACCCAAAATCTTTCAAGGTGCAAATAGGACTGGTGAACTTGCAGATAGGGATGGGATTTGGTCAAAGGCTCAAAGCTGTTTTTCTTGGTTAAATTACCACTAAAATATTTAAATCTTAAAAATTTATGAAAGATTCTAACGAGATTTCATGTTAAATTATGTTAGCAATACTACATTTTGATTGTGCATGTAATATGTGCGCAAGACACGAGTAATGTTACTGCTGATTGTTGAAGTAATGTTGAAGTTCAATCACACGCAATGATCGCATTACACCTGCCCACCACTGATTGTTGCTGTTGCTGCTGCTGCTGGCGAAGAGGTTTATGGTCGGGTTTCTTCCCTGGTGCTATTGTTTGGTCAGGCTTACTTCTAGGACCACAGCAAGAGATACCCCGGACAGTCTTATTTTTCAGTTAAATGCTTTGTTGTTGTAATCGTTTTCACTGTAAAATGCAGACCGCTCTGGAATGAACTAAACTTTCCCGGTTGTGTAAAACCTGACTGTGTAATGCTACATTATTCTCAACCAGCATCTCAAACAAACAAATATTCTTGGTCATCAGCCATGTCCTCTTGCTTCAGAGATTCTCACCCAATCAAAGGAAAATGGATGATTTCATACAGAAAAATAGGATTTTCAACCAAAGCCAACTAAATAAAATGGAAGCAAAGGATGGGAAATCTACAGCAACAAGCAGTTCCTCTTTCAACAAGCTCCTATTTCCTTAGTTAGTACTATGGTAACTTTGACATGTCCCAGTCAAGAGAACTGAAAGGGATAATAAATTCTATGCTCAATGGAAAGGTTTCATATTTAAATGAACTGTTATTCCATTTACAGTAACTATGTTTCTGGTAGGCTGCAAGCCTGCCTTATGGCGATAGTACCGCACAAAGAAACAAAGACTTCTCATACAAAGCAAAGAAAGATTTATTTAAAATTAATCTAAGGTAGATAAACGAATAAGCGAGACAAATGAATATTCTAACATTGTCATTGTCAAGAAGTCTACAAAGAGGACGACTGTTTAGATGCAGCAGACTGTTTAACACACTGCAACCACTTCAAGTGGTGCGAGAAAGCAGATAAACACCTGAGAGCAGAGTCAATCGACTTTCTTATCTGTTGCTTGAGACTTGTTTGCTGCTGTAGGACGCTTGTCCTCTGACATCTTACCATGAACCTCATCCCTCTCCCTAAAATACCTCTCAAAGGCCCGAGGGAGGAATCGAGGAATCAAAAAGCATAAGAGATTGATCGAGAAGTACGATAGGTTTGCAACGGCCAGGCCCTTCCCAAACCAATCCCATGCAATGTCCTGCACAGTCAAAATTAGAGTATGTTGGACATTTTCAAAGCACAATATCGAATTCGAATTCGGTTAAGAATTACCTTCAGTTGTGCATTTGCAGGCAGAGTTTTGTTGAGCCAAACGTCATGCATCCAGTCAAGGATAACAAAGATTCTCCTAACTGTATACAGTAATGGGACAAGTGCCCTCACCGGTGGTGAAAATAAAGACAGCCCACTTATCACATTTTCTGTTAGTATTTGAAAAGAAAGCAAGAACAAGTGAGGTGTTGCTGATCGAACAGCATTATTATCACCCCTCGCAAAGCCGCCCAATACATACGCCAGTGGCAAGAAAAGCCCTATTGTAGTTCCAAGAATCACATAGAGCCTAAAGAGTTTGCTGCCGTGGAAAATCTCTTGCGAGCCGGTTGATACATGGCCATGGGATGGGAAGGCAAAGCGTGAAAGGGCGATAATGTAAGTGGAGGCAAAAGCTGGGAAGACTAAATCAAGGAGTGGGACAAGGCCACTAACTGAGAAAACCAAAATGAAAGCTACTAGTTGCAGTTCAATCACACGCAATGATCCCATTACACCTCCCACCACCGATTGTTGCTGCTGCTGCTGCTGGCGAAGAGGTTTGTGGTCAGGTTTCTCCCCTGGTGCTATTGTTTGGTCAGGCTCACTTCTAGGAGCCACAGCAAGAGATACCCCGGACATTCTTACTTTTCAGTTAAATGCTTTGGTTGTTCTAATGGTTTTCACTGCAAAATGCAGACTGCTCTGGAATGACCTAAACTTTCCTGGTTGTGCAAAACCTGACAAAGAAAGGAACGAGATTCAGTTCTCCGACATACGAGCATCACTGGTACGATGAAACGCATTAAAAAGACACTAGATATTTTTAATAATTGATCCAGAAACGAAATGGCTAATAAGAATATTAGGAGCTACAGTCTTGTTTCAGCTCGGTTGAAATGAGACGCAAATCCATATATTAACACACAAGTTATCTTCATTACTAATCAAATTCAAATGCACCATGTACCCAGTCACCTTAACAGTTGAAGGTTGGGACTCGGGATCATTCTCAAGAATTGAAGAAGAGGGAATTAAGGATACTGCCAAGGTCTAACTCTTTTATAGATTAGTTAAAGAATCATATGGCAATTCGTGTATCCATATTTATCAATTTTGCATCAAATATGAAACACATTTTATTGATTTCTGTTGAAACAACATATGATTTTTTTGTTAAAATTTTAAATCGGATCGCTTTCGTATTCTTTTACTATATTGTCAACCTGCCAGGTTTAAAATTGCCAATTACACTCGAATTTACACTAGTAGCAAAATGTATGAAGCATATAAAAATTAACCAATATGTATAGAAACAAAAACAGAATCCAGAATTAAAAGAGAAATGCAAGAGAGCAAAGCGAACATAAAGTTATGAGACAGATCGATTTTAATGACGAAAAACTCTGTTTCAGAGTTCTTCAGCATGTGCTGTTGTAACCATTCAAGCTTTTGTTGCTGCTCAAAAGTTTAAGAAAAGAAAAAGATATAATCCAAGCAAATCAAATTCATAATCTGCCAAAAGAAAAAACCAACAGATATCCTGATTTTATTGAAGGATAGCGACAACAAAATGATAAAATAATTCAAGACACTGATCAACGAAGACGCACCACATATTCAAAACAGATGAAATGACAGTTAAAAAAAAAGAAGTTATTGAAGAGAAGAGATCTTACGACGACGAACGATTCAATCAAAACCCAAAGAAGAAACTCGGAATGGAAATGATGATCATTGAGAGAGAGAACGAAGATTTTGCCTTACAAATACAGAGAGAGCGGGCGACCATGAAGTTGTTTTTGAACGTGTAGCAGTTTGTGGCTTTACACGCGGGCCTTCTGTTTATCTTACACGTGTTCAATTTGCACCTATGTGTCAGTCACCCTGCGAAAGTAAAAAATGGTTCATGATTCTTCAATACAAATCGAGATAAAGCTGTGGCATAATTTGATGCTCATCCCACTAATTCTGGCTAACTCAGCTGGATTAGAGTCCAATGGCCTTGGGCTAGTTTATGATGCCACTAAATATTCATTTTTACCGGACATAAATATCGGAAGAATATTTAGTAACAAATAAAACATTGTAACTTATGATGCCACTAAATATAAATTATTGCTTTGGGATTTTGGATTTTAACTTTTTTTTATCGTAAGTTTATCAATTTTTAGTGATTTATCAGTAATGTTTATCTCCATCTCCTAATCAACATTTTGAAAGTCAAATCAATATCCAGTTATTTGCTTAATTATTTCAACACTTAGTAGATAGTGGAAAAATAAGATAATTATGTCAGCAAAAATTTATATAGCTCTATATAAAAAGTATCTCGAATGGGATAAAAGCTTGATAGGTGTATTATTATTTTTGTTTTGGCTTCTTTTTGTTGTGAGATAATTTTAGGTTAGGCCTCAATATATGTTGGAATTTTAAGTCCTAGATCATGTTTTTACATAACAGTAACCCAAGGATCTTATAAGTGATAAAAGTCATTATAAGAAACTTTTCATATATTGACGTTTAGGTATATTAATGATCAAATTATTTTAGGAAAAGAGATTTATATTGATAGTTTTTTAATATTGTCAGAATATATCACACCTATATCAATACTTTATATAATTGTTGATATAGATAAACTTTTTCTAATAATATATAACTATTCATCAATATAAATATGCTATATACTAACACTTATCTATACTGATTATCAAATTATGTAAGTAAAAAAATCTATACTGACGGATTTTTGTTACTATCAGTATAGACAATATCTATACCAACACTTTATTCTTCCATTAGTAGATATTGATCTTTTTCTAACATTATATAAATAACCATCAATATACATATTTATATACTGATGGATTGTATTTTAATTGTTGGTATAAGTTTCAACTAGTAAATACTATCTATAGGTATTTATACCCATGGAAGTAATTAATTGTCAGTATAATCATAGGATATATTGATGATTATATCTACCCGTTAGTATACAGTACCAAAAATTTTTTCATATATTGATACTTAAATATATTGACAATCAAATTGCGTCAGTAAAAAATATCTATATTGATAAATTTTTAATACCATAAGAATACAATATTTATACCAACACTTTGTACAACCATCGGTATAAGTAAATTTTTTCTGAATGTGTATAAATATCTATAAGTATAAATACGTTATATACTGACGGTTATAATAACCGTGGGTATAAGCTCCAAAAAAAATTAATTCCTAATTTTTTTTTGAAAATATTAATTAATAATATTTCCCTCTAATAAAAATTTTTAAAAACTATAATTTCTCAAAAACTATAATTATTAATAAATAAAATTTGTAACTTAATTAATTTTAAATGATAATAAGTTCTAAATACATTTTTAAGTATTATATTAATTACTATCAATGTATCAATTTTTTTTTAAATAAACAACCAAGAAAGCTCCAAAAGTTTAAAAAATAAAAAAAAATCTCAATATGGTGTCAATGACTCATTGAAGGTTTAGCAAAAAATGCACAAAACCAAGCCAATCAATCGTTTAAGGTTATTGTGCATTTCATTGCTACTTTTTTTCTTTTGAAATTTCAGTTTCATTGGAAAGAAAAAAGAACATTTTGAAGATCTCTATGTTTGGACTTAAAATTTGTTCGTAGAGGCTTTTTGCTTCTTTCTCTTTGGCAATTCTAATTCTTCTTCCAAAGGTTAGTCATATCCATTCTTCCTTTACATAATTTCTTGAATATTATATGGACTACTAGCATTTTGCCATAACCCACATCGAAATTCACTTAAATCTTTGCTTATAAACTCATTTCTCAATTTGGGTTTTTTCAAATTTGACATAATTTAAACTCAATGGGTAATTTTGAGCTTTTGGTATTACTTAATATTTTAATTTGGATATGGTTTTTATCTGCCTGGTACTTACCCTCACAAATTAATTTCTTTTTTTTATTTTTCCTTTTGATTGAACCATTTCAAATTTATTCATTTCTTAAAAGAGATCATTTTCCCTCTTGCTAAATTTAAGGCAACCTTAAAATTAAGATAAATTTTGAATTATAATCCATTTAAAAAAAGGTTAGTAGAGTTAGGTTAAGTTTGAATATAATCCATTTAAATGTACTAATAATAGAGAAAAATGGGCGGCAAATAGGTTGAAAAAATTGTGTTCTACAAGATTTTTTTCCTCTTATACAGGCATATATGCTCATAATTTCTCATTGAGCTACTCCATTGCTACAGTTAATTTATGAGAAGCTTTCTACAAGCATATCAAGCTGTCATGTGTTATTACTAGTCCATGTTCTGGTTTCAGGTTTAATAGCATAAGCTTATCATTATTCTTGCTATTTCTCATCTATTTTTAAATTCTTGTACTTATTCCATCATTTCTTACATATGAATTTTGTTAATTGTAGGCACTTGAAGGAATTCATATTGTCGTAGGAAATTTCCAAAGTAAAAATCTATGACATCAGAGATTGATTCATCACTAGATAAGAATTTTAGAATGATTCCATATGTTAGGGAGTTCGAGGGCTATTTATTTGTCAAAATGAATTCCCTAACTTCCATTGACATTGAAATGCCCTGTTAGCTATTACAGTTTACCTTTTTGTAAGCCTACAAAGAGTGTTAAGGATAATGTCCCTACCATTGGCAATGGGGGATCGAATGTGCCTGGGTATATGGTTGTTGGGTTTAAAGTGGTTCATTGTAGCGTCATGCATAATGGTAACTTGGTTAAGAACTTGAAAATGTATGAAAAGTATCCAACTCCAATTAAATGCAAGTTAACTGCTGTTTTAGGTTTACTTTTTTTGTTTTTAACACTTTAAAATTTTACTGCACTTAATTTTAAATTACTGCATTATGTTATTAACATAATTCTACTTTAGTTTACTTTATTGTATTGTTAATTTAGCTATTGCGTATTTTACTACTTTTATTCTTTTGATTATGCATTATTTAATTAAGTTATATTTTACTTATTATAAAGTTTAATCAATATTTGACATAAAATATATATAACTATGAAATGTTTGACATAGATTCATTATCAGTTAACTATAGCAACATGTCCAAGTAGGTGAAAAATATGTTAATGCCAACTATCAAATGATCCTTTACAAGTAAGAAAAATAAAGCAATGTTGAAAGATGATTGCTAATTTCTATATTACAAGTTGTTTTTTCCTTCATGTAACCATTAGCACAACTGCGATTTTGTATCCAGTGATTGTTATTCTCAGGTGATCATTTGAATTTCTATGTTTATTTTTAAATTTGTTATTGATTATTATGAAATTGATTTTTTAGATTTACATTCACATAGTATTTAGAGTTCAACAATCATTCCTGTTTACTTTTCTTTGAAATCTCTTTGGTAAAAGATAATACATTCAATTATAAATATTTATCATTATCAATGTAACTATTTACCATCACTTACTAATAATTAAGTTGATATTTAGATAACTTTGATTGGGTGGATGTATAAAACAAACTACTTACTAATAATTAAGTTGACATTTTTAGGTAACTTTCATTGCTACTGCCAATGTCAAGTTTGCTTCAATTTTTGAGTTTTTTTAAGAGATGATATATTTCGAGTAATTAAATATAAATTTATTATTAGGGAAAATCATCTTACATTTTATGGATAAAACGTGGATAAATCTTATATCAAGAGCCAATAAAAGAATACATAAAAAGAGTCATTAGTTTTTTAGATTTTGCCTTTACAAGATCATCTGAAGATAAAAAATTTCGGTATCCTTATGTTAAATATATCAACACATATAGAGTGTATAGAAAAAATGCATTTGATCACATGATATGTGATGATCTTCTCAAAAGATATGTTCAATGGGTATTTCACTAGGATGTCTTAGATGTATGTTTACTTACTAAAACAACTAATGAGAAAGAAAAAGAATTAAATCTTGACATTCATGATTTATTACATGATATGATAGTTGAAAGAGCTATAAATGTTATTATGGGTAACATACAAATTGAAGATACTAGTAGAGAGCAACACCATGGTTATAGAATTAATAGTGATAAAGTTTATGGTTTACTTAAAGATATTGAGGAGAAACCATATCTAAATTATAAAAACTTCACAAAGCTCTCCTTTGTAATTTATTTGTTCCACATTAAGTATTTTAATGGTTGGACAAATAATCTTTTAATACATTGTTAGAAATTTTGAAACTTACTCTACCAAAAGGTAATACATTGCCAGGGTCTTATTAAAATTGAAAAAGATGATTTTTGCCTTAAGTTTGGGATATAAAAATATTCATGCTTATTCCAATGATTGCATGTTGTTTTAGAATGATAAGGCAAATGAAGAAATGTGTTTAAAATATAATGATTTTAGGTGGAAAGAAAGATTGATTGATGTAGAAAATGATCTTTAAAATATAGTGTAAAAAAAAAGCTGCCAAGATTTTGCTTTGGTTTCCTTTAATTCTAGGATTACAAAAGTTATTGATGTCTTCAAAGAATGCTCCCTTTATGACTTGGAATAAATATGAGCATAGTAAAGATGAATGTGTAAGACATCTTGCAGATTCACTAGCTTGGAATGAATTAGATTCTCAATATCTTGAGTTTTCCTTTAAACCTTGTAATGTTCGCTTGGGATTGACATTTGATGCTTTAAACCTTTCAAAACTATAAGTGTGACAAATAGCACTTGGTCTGTTATATTGATACTTTATAACTCACATTTATTGATT